CCTTCTGACCTGTGAATAATTTGTACCTCTCCAGAATTGAAGTTAGAATGTGGACTTGCTCAACCTCAGCTTTGCAAAAACATAAGGTATCATCTGCAAAGAGCAGATGTGAAAAGCTAGGTCCATCCCTTGAGATTTTCAATCCTGTTAGAGTTCCATTGTTGACAGCTTCTTGAATCATGGCAGAAAGGAGTTCAGCAATAATAATGAACAAGTATGGAGATAAAGGATCACCTTGACGAATTCCTCTAGTAGGATGGACATAACCCCCAGTTGCACCATTTACATTAAAAGAGAAAGTGGCAGTGGTAATACATGACATAATCAGCTTGATAAATTTCAAATCAAAGCCCATTTTCACCATAATCTTATGAAGACTCCCCCATTCAACCCGGTCAAAAGCCTTCATGAGGTCAAGCTTGATGGCCATGAAAAAATTTCTACCAGATCTGTGTCTACTAAGAAAATGGAAGGCCTCATGGGCTATGATAACATTGTCTAAGAGTTGCCTGCCCTTAAGAAAAGCTGACTGGCTGTCATTAATACAACAATCAAGGCATGATTTCAACCTTTGGGCCAAAATTTTTGACAGAGTTTTGTAGAGAACACTACAGAGACTAATTGGCCTAAAATGAGAAAGGGACTCAGGATTCTGACACTTAGGAATTAAGGTGACTAGAGTGTGATTCCAATATTGCAATAAGGTACCTGAATCAAAGAAACTTTTAATAGCAGCAATCAAGTCAGTCTTTATGATGCTCCAGAAGCTTTGGTAGAATAAAGCCTGCATTCCATCTTCACCAGGTGACTTCTCAGCTGGGAGACTGAAAAGAGCAGAGTGAATCTCTTCATCCTCCACTTGTGAGAGCAGCTTTTGATTCATTTCCAAAGATATTGTGGTTGGAATCAGTTGCAGAAGTGTGTCACCACCAATTGATCCTTCTGAGGTAAAGAGCTTGCTATAGAAATCAGAAATGTGGTCTTCAATCTCAGACTTCTCTGTGAAAATGTGGTTATCAGCATCAATGAGCCTAGTTATTGAATTTTGCTTCCTTCTGAGTCTGGCATAGGCATGAAAAAACTTGGTGTTGGCATTGCCTTTCTTCCACCATAAGATTTTAGCCCTTTGTTTCCAAAAGAGTTCTTCTTGATGATGGGCCTCATTGAGATCATTCCTCACCTTCTCCCATTCTTCCCATTTCTCCTCTCTGTCTTCCTCTCTAAGCTCCTCCAATCTCTTAGTCAGGTTTTTGATGGCCCTCTGGTTAGAAGAGTTGAACTGAGAACTCCAAAGGAGGAGGGCTATTCTGGTTTCTTTGATTTTCTCCTTCAAGATAAAGAAAGGAGTGCCTGACTGTGGTTTGGCCCATGCTGTGCTAACTACTTCATTGATGCCCTCCATTTTGAGCCATCTACTGTCAAATTTGAATCTGCTTTTGAGCCTGGATTGAAGATTTCCACAGTCCAAGATGATCATTGAGTGGTCTGAGGCACTTCTGAGGAGATTCAAAATGTGGGCATTTTGGTTGGCTTCTAACCAGGCTGGGGAAGCAAATCCTCTGTCCAATTTTTCCTCCACATAGCCTTCAGCTGCCCTGTTGTTAGCCCAAGTGTATTGATAGCCTTTCATATGAATCTCTTCCATTTGCATGCTGGCTATAAATCTGTGGAAATCCTGAAAACTGCTAGCAGGCCTTTGTCTTCCTCCTTTCTTGTCTTCTTGATAACAGATGTCATTCCAGTCACCCATAACTAGCCATTTATCCCCCCAGTCATTTTTATCCAAGATTAGTTGTTGTCTCTGAGCTTCCCTTGTGGCTTTCTCTGTGCTCATATAAACAAAAATGGCCCAAGAACTTCTATCTTCCTTCAGACTGTACTCAACTGCAATATAGAACTCTTTGCAGACCACCTGGATAACATTAACCTCCATTTTCCAGAACAAAACCATGCCACCACTGGTACCTCTTGGATCAACTATTGAACACCTATCAGCAAACCCCAGCTTTTTGCTAACCGCTTTCACAAAAGAACTTTGTTTTTTAGTTTCAGAAAGAAAAAGAAAAAAAGGATGGTGAGCCTTATAGGACTCTTTGATTTGGGAAACTGTGGAGGGCCCACCCAGCCCTCTACAGTTCCACACCGCAGCTAACATTTGTCACTCGGGTGCCACTCTAGGCTGGCAACCCCCACCTTGTCAGATGATGATTTGAGTTTTTTGCTGTCATTTCCAGGTAGATTATGAGCCTTGGCTTCAGGATAAGATTGCTGCAGTTCTTCTCTGGCTCTCTTGCCTGGAATGGATAAAGGGTCTCCAATGGCTATTTGATCTTGCCTTTGTAACCTACCAGAGTTGTTGGCAGATCTTTTCCAAGTCTTGCCCTTAGTATTCTGGGTTTCAGGGATGACAGATAGGGTAAGAGGAATTTGGGCCAGAATGGGTTCAAGTTCCATGTCTTGGGAGATGGAAGTGCTGCCCATATCTGGGCTCATAGAAGGAGAGGAAAAGGAATGGTTGTTTGAGCTGGGGGTGTGTTTGAGAATCTGGGACTTAGGATTGTGTATTGGTACTGTTTCCTGGGTAGATTTGGCTTGTAAAGGGATGAGTTGGTTGTTATCTTCAACATGGCTATTAGAGTTGTGGAAGGGTGCAGTTTGAGGTGATGGAGAGGGAGTGTCATTGTGGTTGGGGCTTCTAGAACCTGAGGAGTTCATCCCTGACCAATTCTGAGCTTCTTGTGCTCGCAACCAATCCCCATATTGTCCCTCTTTCACTGACTTGGCTTTGATGTCATCCATCCTCTTAGAGCACCCTCTGTCGAGGTGTCCTATGTGACCGCAATAGTGACAGAGGTTTACGAGCTTTTCGTACTTGAAACCAACACTAACTGCTTGGTCATTCAGTCTAATATTTGCACATCTAGGCAGAGGTTCATTGATGTCAATAGAAACCAAAAGGCGCATTAGTTTACCTCCATGGCTACCGGCTCCCACTACTACCACGTTGTCAACATTGTTGAAGACACTCCCAATTTTAAGCCCAACATCCGTGCTAAGCCAATTAAGAGGTAGATTGAATACTTGGACCCAAAGCTTTAGTTCCGAGAACACTGGATGTGCCCTTGACAGCCCTTCTTTCCATTCTGATAAAACTAAGTATTGATTGTCTAAGATCCAGTTTGTACCTTTAGCCACTCTTAGAAGATCCTCTCTATTTTGAAATATGAATTGGAAATAATTTGGACCAAGTTCTTTAACGTCCATTGTGCCTTGTAATCTCCAGATACGGCTCATAGTACGGTTCATTCCCAGCCAGCTAGCTCGCCTATCGCCAATAACTTTTCCAAACAAGCTGCGATTGCATTCATCGGCGCTGAGCTTTATGTCGTCTTGCGCTATGTCAATGAAGTTGTGCTCTCGATCGGATAGAGAAAATCCTTGCAATCGATTAGATAGCTCCTCATCTTGCCCTATGCTCGCCGGCGTGCCCATTAGGTTAACTCTCTACACAGAGCAGTACGAATTTAATATTGGGGAAATTACATAACGAGGAAAATGATCAACAGAAAGCTGAGGGGAAAAGGAAGGTGATTCAAAGCACCAATCGAAGACCGAGATGCCCACTGAAAATCGCTCTCAACGAGAGAATGGAATCGCTCTCAACGAGAGAATATAGTTCACAGCCTCCTGAAACAAGCAATTACAGCCAGATAATGTCCAAAATATGGAGAACCACATGGTCACTCAAAATAAAAAAGAAGATTAAAGTTTTTCTCTGGAAATGCTGGTTTAACTTTATCGGCACAAAAGATCAACTCAGCAAAAAAGACATTAAGGTGGATCCCATTTGCAGTGTCTGTGGCTCTTTTGAGGAATCCCTTGATCATATATTTTTCTTGTGCTCTCGTGCTGTAAACGTATGGAAACTTGCAGGGCTGCAATGGGAAGGTATGCATCAATCAAATTTTTCCTTTCGGACTTGGTGGACTGATACATGTACCATGAAGCGAGTTAAAAGCTTCAATGACCGCATCCATTACTCTTCTTATATTCTATGGTGGCTGTGAAAATCTCAAAACATTTGGATATTCGACAGCACCTGGAAATCTGATATGGACATTGCTCAAGGAGCCTGGAAGGAATGGGTGGAATATGAGGAGGTTAATAACCTTCGGATCTAATTTATTGTTTCTCTGTTTTGTTGGTGATCTTTAGTTTTCATAGCTTTTGGTGGATAGCTGACTCAAGTGGAAGCTTCGGCTAAGGACCTCGGCGTTCAGTGGCAGACTTCTATAAGTTCTCACAACTCTACATGGCTATCCGTTTTGCTAGTTTTAATCCTCTGCCAATGTATTAGTATATTGTATATTGTGGTAGTTCTTCTAGCTTTTTTTGGTTTCAATTGGGCTTTATCCCCTGTAACTTAGCTTCCGTGAGAATGCTAAGGTTTATGTCCTTGGACATGCCTATTGTAAATAACCTTTCCCGAGTTGAGCATTAATATTAATTTCCGTTTCCAAAAAAAAAAAAGAATCTCTCCACAATTCCTCTAATTCCTAAACTACGATTATCAAAGTTTATTGTCAGACTTAAACTTTCCATGTCCTTCAATTCCACAAAAACGAAATTGGGAAAGAATATGGAAGGTAAATCTAAATCATATGAGCTTGTCCTCAATCATTAAAGACTTAATTAACACAGATTATGGGTCTAATGAAGGTAAACATTCCGAAAACGAAACCGCCGAAAAACAATTTGATAGCGATGGATTTTGTGCAATCAATTGGGGTGTTTTCCCGCTGGTTGAAAACGAGAAGAAAACTTTTGTAGTTTGACACTAGCCGTCAAGATTTGGTGATTAATTATGCTCTTTTCAAGGTTTTTTTTTTTATTATTTATTCTTGGTCATACTTTTTTCAAGATTTGTGGAATATTTTGTGATGATTTATTTGTTTACGGTTGCTGATTAGTAAATTGTTGTTGCAATTATTTGCTGGAAAATGGATTCAGTTGCTGTATTTCTATAACTACACAAATTATGATGTTTGTGGGATAATTATAACTCGAAATTGCAGTTTTGAGGAATTCTACAGAATTATTTCAGAGAAACTGAAGACAAATCTTTCGAAAACAAAATTAAGTTTGGAAACCCGGTGTCGTTCTGCTCATCTTATTACAGCACGAAGAAATTTGTGGAGACATATTATGAACCAGTTTACCGGATTGAAGGGTCGCAAACTTTCAATGCTGTGAGAAAATTTTTCAATCGCCGATTGGTAAAGCTAAATCGGGTCGTAGACGAAAACAACGTTTCTCGTCTGCATTGGAGGCTCCAAAGAAAAACAAATGCAATAAATGTCATGGTATGGGTCATAATGTGAAAACGTGCAAAAATCCTCCTAGATTTATAGCGGATGTTCAGTGACGAATCATGAAGTTTTGACTTTTGGTCATATTATTTTAATTGTTATAAGATTATTACAATAATTTCCTCTGTTAGTAATCTGATAAGGATATTATGTTTGCTCTTGCTTTGATTCCTTTATAATATGACTGCTAAGGTGTTTGGTTGGAATAGTTAATGAATTTATGTTCTACAACTTTTATACAATTGACTTGTTTATCTGTTTGTTATGGGTACTTTGTTTGATTTTCTGAATAGGTAAGACAAAACTACAACGTAAATCATATTTTTTCGCAACTGTGTTTTTGTTCGGTTGTGTATAATTGTGGACAATCCAAGGTTTTTTATTGTTTCTCTTACGGCGCGCCGTAATTGATTAATAAATGCCATATTTCACTCGATTTGTTTCATTTGTAATGGTTGTTTATATATTATAAATTGTGGAATCAAGAAATGGTATAACAAAACTTGTAACAATTATTGGAAATTGGGCAAACTTTAGTTGTATATTATAGGAGGTTTATATAAACAAATAATATACCTGTAGGAATGATACAATATATTAACCTGGAATAAAAAAAAATCAAACTTTATTGGTACGAATAGACATTGGATAAACTAGTAAAATTGTGGCAAAAAAGCTATCACAAAGCAACCAATTAACGAAGTTATCATATTTCTGGTCTGATCCGAATAAACGTTAGATAAACATATAAATTTCCAGAAATTAAGTATCCCATAAAAAACCAAATTTGCACAGGTAAATTGCTTCAAAAAATTCATGCTGTCAGGATTCTCCAAAATTCCAGAATAAATTAGATAAACATTAGATAGTGTGCTCTTTGCCCCTCTAAAAAATCTTACAGGTAAATAAATTAGATAAATTACCATAAATAAACATTAGATAAATTAAAAAACACCATAAATAAATTACCCCATAAAAAAATCTTGCACAGGTAAATAAATTATCAAAGTCGAATGTCTCAAAAACAATTGGCTCCGATGAAACAAAATACTCCGCAAAGGTAGCGACAAATGCGCCAAAATACTCCTCTTAGCAATTTTTTTTGAGTTTTTGAATCTACCCACAACACTTTTTAGTTACTTCTACTTCCATCGAAATTTCTTCTTGAGTTTCAAAATCGGGTCAGTATCATAAACAATCTTTCTTTTACCCTTAGCCTTGTCACTAACATTTAATAGAGAAGCGCATACACGTTCCTTTTGACCATTAGAACGCGTAATTGGGTGTCTCACTACTGAGTGTTGTTCCATGAGAGTCCAAGACTTGCGTTGGCTTAACACGATGCCTTTGTGTGTCATCCTTGGTTGCACTCACCTTCAATTGTTTTCCAAAGAAAAGCAAAAGCACTCAATCACTCTCCCCAAAAAAGAAATCGTAACAAAAACAGATCGAATATATTGGATAGAAAATAGTACAAGCCAAAAGAAACACACCTCAAGATACATAACATGAGTATAAACTCAACCAAACCATAAATATAAAACAATAATTTGGAAAAGCTATCTTCTACATGTTATCCAGATTAACTTGCACAACACTGTCATTCACTCAACAAACCTCAAAAAATCCCGAATAAATTGAGGGAATATAAAAAGTGGTAATGCCCCTTTTTGGCCATTAAAAGAAAGAAAAAAATGAAATCTGGCCAACTTTTTAAAAAAAATAAAATCTAGCCATTTTGGATTGTGAAAATACCTAACTGCCCTTGAAGTTATTTCTTAAGCATTTTTCTCCTCCTTCACCGTTCACCCGCCTCCCTCTTCACTTTATTTTCATTTTCTACCTTTTTACGAAACACCCACCCTCCCTCCCTTTTCAAGCAATTTTCGTGTGCTCTTCTCCTTCGCCTGGCGATTCAAACCCTCTTTCATGCCGAAATCACATAGATCCGCTGCTCTTCTCCACTCGGTGCTATTCTCAAGGTACGGTTCATCAACTACTGTGATTTTTTAGGGTTATTTTAGAACCTCAAGATTGTGTTCTCATATTCTCCGACGGCGTCCACCTCCACTCGTGGTTCATCAAGCTCTCCCCCGACTGCAGAGGTTTGTTTATTTTTTACTTTTTATTTCGATCCGTCTTTGTGTTATTCTGTTGTGCATCTAGGTGTATAGTTAAGTTGAAACTGATTTGTTGGGGATGGTTGTGGGCAGTTGTGGATTTTTTGAGGGTTTTTGGTCCTTGCTTTATTTGGTGCTTGTTGTTGTTCTGCTGGTTAGGCCTCCCCTCCACAACTAAGTGTAATTAAGTTATATCTTGATTTAGTGGGGATGATTGTGGGCTTTTGTTGACTTCTTTACGGTTTTGGTCCTAGTTGTTTGAAATGCAGAGAGGAGTAGAATCAAATGCATATTTTTTACTAAAGTCATTGTCTTGAACCGTTCAAATTCAATGTATTTTGTACCAGCCTTCATTGATTGGCGAATGGCTAAGTGCAACTGTTGTTATGTCATGAACAGAGTCATGAGGCGGAGTTTGCTAATATGTTATCTACAAGCTATTTTGATTAGTGTGATTTATAAACATTAGACAAAAACTTTCACTTAATTGATCTTAAAACCAGTTTTTGTGTTTATTCATTATTTTGTGTCACATTCTTTGATAATATCTGTGCATTCATGACCAGACATTAGATGGTCTGTATTAATACACATGCCGTGATACTTTATTCTGAAAACAAGTCCCTAAATTCTGAGTCATGATTCTAGGGATTCAAGAATACATAATCAAATCCATTTGTTGTAATCATTGGTTTGTGAATCAATATTATTGCAGGTGAAGAATAAGTTGATCGATATTCCAAATTGAACAAAATGCAAGTAAGGAGGATAGTTTTACAAATTAGCAATTACAATAGGCTTAAAGAAGGGAATCTTGTGAGTGCACAATCTTGATGTAATGTCTGATGTGTTTTGTATGCATGGAGGTTCTTGTTTGTGAACTAAAGATTATGTCAGACATGAATTGTCTAGTTCTTAGTCCCCACATGGATCATGATATGAGATTGGGAGTTGATCTAGGACGGAATGATAATGAAGAAACGTTACACTCTTTGAATTACATTTAGTCATCAAACTTTAACGTGCACATGTTTTTTGTGTTAATGAATACGGATTGTGTTGAAAAAGTTTGATAATATAGTAGTTATGCAAGTTAGGGTACTATCAAATACCTTTTGCATATTTGATTCATTGTAGTATTTGAGTTTAATTGTGATCGTAAGTGGATCTTACGTTTGTGTTTGCTCTTACTATATCATGCGTATAAATTTCGAAGAAGATGTTGAATGCAGAATCACCCTCTACCATGTGTTTTTCTCTTCAATGGAGTTCTATGTATTTGCCCATCACCAAGCAATGTACTGAAAGGAATTAAAACAATGATATCATCAAATTTCTAGTCGTATTTCATCATTCATTTTCAACATTTTGCTAGAACTTATATTTAAGATAATTTCGTTGAAAATTAAGATTTATAATAATGAGTTCTGGTTATTGTTTATATAGATCTCACTTCTTAATTGTGTCCTCTCTCACTTTAGGTCTATTTCCTTTTTAGTTTACCATTTTGTTAATATGACTTTGATTAAGAGTTTGATTTGCTTTCACAGCCATTGTTTTAAATATGACACCATCTGTTAAATATCTCTGATCTTTTCTATAATCTTATTTTATTTATACTTTTATGTTTAGATATTTAGTTTTTACAGTGAAGTGGTGCGGCTACTTTTGTTTCTATAAAAGTAGTTTGTTTTTATATAAGTAGTAGGATTATGACTCATAGGGCGTCGAATTAAAATTTTGTGGTCGATTTTCTTGGATATGAAGTTATCTTCCCGAGGGTGATAAAAACTTACAGGCATGTTATATTTGTTTCAATAAAGTATTTTGTTAGGCTTGTTCTATTTGCAAAGCCTTGACGATCTCCTTGAGAACATCATAGCACCGTATTCAATTCCTTATTAGTTGATATTGATTTTAGAAATGCAATTGCAGTGACATTCTGGCTCATGACAACATGACCATTTTCCTCACTCGACCATTTTGTATGCTCTATGTAGATTTGAAAACAGATCTTCAAACAAAATTCTTACCCTTTTGTGGCGCTAATTCTTGGAACACGACAGAGATAACATCTACTAATAAGGTATGATGTTTTTTGCTCAAGAAAGAGTTTTGTATTTTATGTGAAAAAACTTCATTTTTTTTGTTCAAGAAACTAATGAGTTTATGTTTTTTGCTCAAGAATGTATTTTGTAGTTTATGTGAAAAAACTTTCGTTTTCTTGTTGAAGAAAGAGTTTCTTGAACAGTTACTTGTTTCTTGATTCTGTTTCTTAAAGAAACAAATTCTTGAACAAAAAACATTCAAGAAACAGTTTCTTGTTCAAGAAAACAGGTTTCTTGTTTAAGAAAAAAACATTCAAGAAATAGGTTTCTTATTCAAGAAACAGGTTTCTTGTTCAAGCAACCTCTTAAATATGTTTCTTAAAGAAACAAATTCTTGAACAAAAAACATTCAAGAAATAGTTTCTTGTTCAAGAAAAAAACATTCAAGAAACAGGTTTCTTGAACAAGAAAACAATTTTCTTGTTCAAAAAACAGGTTTCTTGTTCAAGAAACAGTTTCTTGTTAAAGAAATTCAAGACTTGTTCAAGAAACCAGGTTTCTTGAACAGTTCTTTCTGTGCTTTTTCCTTGAACAAGAAACCATTTCTTGAACAAGAAATTTGGTTTCTTGAACAAGAAACAGTTTCTTGTTCTTTCTTGAATTTTAAATATTGTGTTTTCAACAAACTAAAAACTTTTTAATCAAGAAATTCAAGACTTGTTCAAGAAACCAGGTTTCTTGAACAGTTCTTTTTGTGCTTTTCCTTGAACAAGAAACAACTTCTTGTTCTTACTTGAATTTTATATATTGTGTTTTCAACAAACTAGAAACTGTTTAAAAAAATAATATTGATTGTTTCATGATTTTTAAGGTGATGGTTGGAGTTGGAGATGGCATAAAGCTTTCACTGAAGCGGTAAAATGAAGCGGTAAAATAAATTGTCAGATGAAGCCTCAAGTAATAGGCCGTATTAAAACGCAACTGGATGTTTGTGGCCGTCTCAACGAGCTTAAAGAATCATGTTTTGAACATTTTTTGAGATTCGATGAACAGACGTACCACAGTGGGAAATTATTGCTTGCATTATTTTAGGCATTGTTGTTGAAATTTTAAATACTTCGAGAGGTCTTACTGAAGCCAAACATGTCATTGTTTGCGTTTTGTTTAACCCTTTCTTTTTCCTATGTATGAAGGTTCGTAACTTTATTTGTTGCCCTATGGAAAATTGTTTGTCGCTATGTTGTAAAGAATTAGTCTAATAGTCGTGCATTATGGAGATTTCACCTTCATACTGTGTTGTTTGAATGATGAAATGCTAGGTTCTAGAGAGGTTCAAAAAAAAAATTTAATATTCCAAGAAACAGAATAATAATATTTTTCATAAACTGTTTCTGGAACAAAAGAAAACATTTTTTTTGTAAAATCAGAAGAAACATATTCTCTTGTCCCATAAACGAATTGTGGAACAATATTTCGTTCTTGATTGCTTGAGTAAATNACATAAACAACAATTTACTCGCAATGTGATATGATGTAATACATCGAAATTTTGCTCATTCTATCTTGTCCTTGATCTCTCTTTCAGCAATATATCTCCTTCATCATACGAATTTTTTCAGTCAAATGCTCACGAATTTCCTACACGAAATACCACATTAACTAATACGCGAGATGAACAACATAATTCTCATCTTGTAACTATATACATTTGTCATTCTTCATGATTATATTTGACAAATAAAACACAAAAAGGGTTTCCACAACAATTATAATATACCTTTAAAGGCATAAGACATTCACGACCCAAGTAATCATCCAATCTTTCAGTAATCCCACCTCTTTCTAACTCAACCAGCCTGCGCTTCTCGTTGTCCACATTAGGATTCGCATTCCCGAACCTTTCCTCTCTTAATTGGATAACGTATTTCAAACCGCTTACAAAGATTAAATAGACACAAAGATTTTCTTTCCCCTTTTAAAAACTAAAATCAACTAACTAATGAAATGAGAAATGCATATATCTCTGCAACTAAATTCCTCAAATGAGCAACAAAAGACATCAACCAAGTTTAACTCCAGTTGCCAAATCTACAATAACAAAAGAAGTAAATAATAGTAACAAACATTCAAAACACAGTCTGTTGTAGCTTCATATCATCTCATGTAAAATCATTCTAATTCATTTCTCCAGAACACACCATCCATACAAACACAAACACACCTAAAGTGATCAAATAACCTCTGATTCAAGAGCAAAAAGGCCTCACAACCATCACTTACCAAAATAAAAAAAATTACAAAAGACACCACAAGCACAAGTTGGTACATAATAAATGGAGAAATATTAAAAGGAATTACTTGAATGCAGAGCCAACATTCCAGAACCACATTATTAAGCATAAATTCATCATACAACATAGTAAAGACAAAAATTTATCATTCCCATTCGAGAAACAAAAGCATCAATTGAAGAAAAATTGATGGTAAATTACAAAATTTGAAGAAAAAATACCCAAAAAGCCAGAAATACACCAGAATCTCTCTAGTTTGACGGTCACCGATAGTTTGAAGCTGCCGGCCGTCGATGGTTTGAAACTCTTTTAGGCGGTGGATGCTTCTCGGCCGGCGAATGATAGTGAAGGTCACCGATGGTTTGAACCTCCTCTCGGCGGCAGATGCATCTCGGTTGACGAATGAGACGGACGGGAGCCGATGGTTTGAAGATCTTCTTGACGACAGATGCTTCTTGGTCGGCGAATGAAAATGACGTCCCGGTTGACGGATGTAGGTGACGGAGATTGGGAATGTTAAATTGAGGCTTCTGATGCGGCGGTGTAAAATAAAATGAGGATTTGAATGAGGGTTGAAATTTGAGAAGGGTTAGAAATATAAGGGTAAAATGATAATTTTACATGCATAAATAGCTAGTATTCATCTATATATATATAATTGCTAGCTAAGCAATAAATTTTACCTAATAAATAAAACCTAATAAATTTTACCTATGTGGCAAATCATTAATAAAACCTAATAAATAGAACCTAATAAATTTTATTTATGTGGCATTAATACACCCAATGTCATTAATAAAAAAATATTTTATTACATTTTTTGGGTTAATTAAGACAAAAACTATTATATTTTATGTTAATTGATTAATAATTATATTTTTTACTGAATAATATAATAGTTAATATTAAAATTAGTAATTATATTTTATACTAAATAATATATGAAAGTTACATAAAATTATATTTTACACTAAAATCAATATTTTTTTATATGATGAAGCGGTTGTTTATTAATAAATTAAATTTTTTTTATGTCATAGTAAAATTTCTTAAAATCACATAAGCAATTGTTATAATAAATGTAATATTTTTCAGCTAATTAATTGGTCATGATCACTCAAAATTGTAAAAAGTATATATTTATTACATTTTATGCAATCAATATAGTGATTCGTATACAATCAAATTGTGTGTACTATTTATTTTAACCAATGATCAAATTTTAAAATATAATACTATTATATAATTTATAATTTTAATATTATATACATAAATATAACTTATAATACTATATGTTTGAAATATAATACAATTATATAACTTATAATTTTTATATTATATACATAAATATAAC